AAAAAAAAAAAAAAAGAAAGAAAGAAATTAGCAGAAAGGCCAGTTTGGGGGTGGGGATGAGTCTGCGAGGACAGAGTAACAGGGGATGAATACTCATTTGAGCAACAAAGTGCAATTGCATATTTTGTCAATTCCATCATCTGTATGTGCTTGAAAAATCTCAAGAAGCACAGTTTCTCCCTTCTCAACACTCGGTTCAACCTGGAGCCAGCGACCCTCTGGTAGGAAGTCCTGAGTTAGATGAACAGCACCATCTTGGGTTCCTTCAGACAGGAATATAGATGACCACTTTGTGGTCTCAGCCCATGCTTTGACTTACTCCTGTGTTTTGGTTTCCTCTGCCTGAAATGCTTCCTCTGAATATCTACCCTATCCTAAGGACTCTCTTAGACTGCTCCCTCTCCTGCAGAATTGTTCCTCGTGCCTTCCCCAGGCCACAGTCCTTCCATTGAGACATTGATGGTGTTTCTGGCCATCTTCTGGGGCCTGTCTTAATGCTGGTGCATAGTTACATTCAGAGCATAGAGCCAGAACTATAGTGCCCCTGTGTCTGGGGGAGAATAACACCATTGGAGGTTTTCATCCTGTTTGTGCTTCCTTGTTAAAATAGTGTTGAGGCTTTTTTGGATTCTAAACAAATACATTTGTCATTGTAGAAAATTTAGAAACCATAGCCAAGCACGATGAGGAATAAACAGCTTTGGTAATTCTGTTCAAAGATGAGCCACTGCTAAATGTGGCCTTGACCTTCTGCTTTTTTTTTTTTTTTTTTAAGGCAGAGTCTCACTTTGTCTCCCCAGTAGAATGCTGTGGCATTATAGCTCACAGCAACCTCAGACTCCTGGGCTCAAGCGATTCTCTTACCTCAGCCTCCCGAGTAGTTGGGATTATAGGCACCAGCCACAACACCCTGCTATTTTTAGAGGTGGGATCTCACTTTAGCTCAGGTTGATTCTGATTTTTTATATGCCTGTGTGTGTGCATACATTTTCATTCTACAGAACTAGGATCATACAGCCTACTTCTCCCCTCCAACTTAACAATGGTTCCAAGTATTCTTTCATGTCCTTAATATTTTTAGAAAACATTTTTTTTAGATGCGTGCATAGTACGCTGTCTATGTGGAAACCTTAATTAACTTAACCAGTATCTTTGGGTTACTCTCACTTTTTTCTATAGTAAACAATGCTGTAAATAACATCTTTAAGTCTTTACATAAATATTATATTAGAATATGCATATATATAACATGTAAAGATTATTGATTCTATTAAATAGAACAACTCTCATTGTTTCCTTAGGACAAATTCCCAGAATTTAAGTTACTGGGTGAAAGGTATGCACTATTTTTTTTTTTGGAAACACACAGTCTCACTTTGTCGCCCTCGGTAGAGTGCTGTGGCGTCATAGGTCACAGCAACCTAAGGTATGCACATTTTTAAGGCTTTGATACATATTGTTAATTTTTTTCCTGAAAGTCTCTTTTATTAATATATACATATACTGTTTTATATCCATCCATCTCTCTTTCTCTTATCTTAACAATGGGCATTTTCTCATTCTTTTCCAATTAGATAAGAGAAATAGTATCTCATTGTTCTAATTTGTATTTCGTAAGTTACTAGTGTATTTCTATTTGTATTTTTTAAGTCAATAGTTATTGGGTATTTGTGTATCTATTTTTAACTGTCTACCCTGCATACTTTTCTCTAATAGTGGTCTTTTGATTGAGTTATTAAGTTATGAGAACTACTCATTCACAGGAAGTTTCCAATCACTGCAGGCACTGTTGAGGGTGACTGGTTTTAAGACTGCTGTGGCCTTGCCCTCAGGCACTAAACCTGGACCTTCTAGGAGGGTAAGAGTGGGGGAGGGCCCATGGGTGGGCTGATGGATGCACTGGCAGC